AACAGGCCCCAAACAAGTCCAAAACCCAGCAGGACAGACATTAAATCTTAAAGCTCCAAAACAATCTTCTATGACTCCAACTCCTACATCCTGGGCACAGTTGGGCATCTGGGCCCCCAAAGCATCAGGCAGCCTTATTCCCACAGCTCTGCCAGGCAGAGCCCAGTGGGCCACACTGGTGCCCGTGGCTTTTCCAGGCCTGCGTTGCATGTTACCTGTGGCCCCAAAGTTCTGGGGTCCTGGCGGCAGCCCTGCTGCATTGGCTCTACTAGACATTTCCCTGGTGGGGGCTCTCTGTGGGGACTCTGACCCCACTTTCCTGCTTTACATTAGTCTAGTAGATGTCCTCTGCAGTGGCTCCACCCCCGTGGCAGGTCTCTGCCTGGGCCCCCAGGCTTTTCCATACATCCTCTGGAATCTGGGTGGAGGCTGACACGCCTCCACTGCTCTCACGTCCTGCTGGCCTGCAGACTTAACACAATGTGGGTGCCACCGAGGTTTCAGGCTTCTACTCTCCATGGCTGCTGCATGAACCACACTTGGGGCTGCTCCAGCCAGAGCAGCTGGGATGTAAAGAGCAGGATCCCAAGGGCAACTGCGCCCCACGTCTGTCCTCTGGGATAACTCAGTCCTTCTAGGCCTCAGGGTCTGTGATGGGTGGGGCACACTTCCAGACTTCTGAAATGCCTGCAGGGCTTTTCTCTCATTGTCTTGGCTCTTAGCATCTGGCTGCTTCGTTGCCAAGGTAATGTCTTTAGCAACCAGTTTATCTGCTTCACCCTTGCATTGTTCTCCTGCTCTCCGCTTCTTTACCACATGGCCAGGCTGCAAATTTTCCAAATCTTTATGCTCTGCTACCCTTTTAAATTCTGGCTTTATGTCATGCCTTTACTGCCATAACTCAGAGTAGGCTGTTAGAAGTAGCCATGCAGCATCCTTAATGCTTTGCTGCTTAGAAATTTCTTTTGCCAAATGCTCTGGTTCACAATTCTTAAGTCCTACCTTCCACAAAGTCCAAGGGCATGGACACAATGCAGCCAGATTCCTTGCTATGGTGTAGCAAGGGTCATCTTTTGTCCAATTCCTAATAAGTTCCTCATTGCTATCTGAGACCTCACCATCCACATGGCCTTTACTGCATTCTGCTTGCCATCACATAAGTCTCTAAGACATTCCAAACTTTCCCTCATCTTTCTCTCTTCTTCTGAGTCCTCCAAACTCCTCCAACCTTTGCCCATTACCCAGCTCCAAAGATGCATCCACATTTTCAGGTGTCTGTATAGCAACAACCCACTCCTTGGTACCAATTTTCTGTTTTAGCCCATTTTGTGTTGCTATAACAGAAATACCTGAGACTGGGTAATTTATAAGGAAAGGAGGTTTATTTGGCTTACGATTCTGGGACAGCTGCATCTGGCATGGGCCTCAGGCTGCTTCTCATGGCGGAAAAGCGGCAGGCAGCCGGTGGGTACAAGCAGATCACATGGCAAGAGAGGAAGCAAGAGAGAGAGAGAGAAGAAGCAAGAGAGATAGAGAGAGGAGGTGCCATGGTCCTTATATACAGCAAGCTCTCGTGGGAACTAATAGAGCGAGAACTCACTCACTACCCCTCCTCCCCCAGGGAGAGCATTAATCCATTCATGAGGGATCCTCTCGTGGGAACTAATAGAGCGAGAACTCACTCACTACCCCTCCTCCCCCAGGGAGAGCACTAATCCATTCATGAGGGATCCTCCCCCATGACTCAGTCAGTTTCTAACACTGCCACATTGGGGATCAGATTTCCGCATGAGTTTTGGAAGGGACAACACATCCAAACTCCATCGTAAGGGCAGCAGACTAGAGAGAGGGAAGGACACAGAGGCAACAGCAAATTTGATAGCTAAGTTGTCCCCAAAAAGGTTTATTATGGACAGCTTCCTGTGGCGCAGATACCCATTTTATGAAGATTTCCAACTTGACAGACTAAAATGATTCTTCAAGAGTTTGGTCTTTCAAGGGCAAAGTTTGGGCAAAACTGAAACAGTCACTGATTCTTGGAGAACCGTGGACACACCGAGTCTTACAATTCATGTAACTTTGAGAAGGACAAGGCATAGGACCTGGAAGGGAAGTCCCTCAGGGTCTCACGCGGGGAGTATTCACTCAGTTCTTTGTTTCCTGTTGTCGCCATAGGTGCTATCTCTGGAGGTCTAAGCATTGGGCCTCCAGGTAAGTCCTCCATGGACGACTCCTATGGTCGGTACGATTTAATCCCGAACAGTGAGTCACCAGCCAGTCCTCCCGTAGCTGTTCCCCATAGCTGGTCACGTGCCAAATCTGACAGTGATAAAATCTCAAATGGCTCCAGCATCAACTGGCCCCCAGGTAAGACCCTGCAACATTTCTATGCAACAGCAGATCAGAACATGCTCCAGGTCTGAGAAGAGTGGTCAGGCCTGAGAGGAACCAGAATCTGAGCTAAGGAATTTGGAAGTATTAAGTCAATAGCTTTGGTATTTTCATTGGAAATCCATTTGTCAGATCGGTTTAGGGTATTGTTGGTGTATCAAACGTTTTTCTGTAGCCCCTTAGTTCAGTATAAGGAGTGGGAGGATGTAGCAGGGAGGCTGGGCAAGGGACACTATATTCCATCTGTAAAATCGTTCAGACCCTGTATGAAAACTATCTTAATGTGGTAGCTATAATACCTGGTTCTAGTTCGTTCCAAAGAATTGATTGATGTAATGAAAGAGAGTCTAAAGAGTGCTTCTTATTTTAATTAGCAGATTATAAAAATGTCCACAAATAGGTAAAAAAAAAAAAATGTATGTTATGAAGCAAAGCAAAGGTGCTCTACTATGTGGCTTCTCATTTGGTTTCCATAAACAGAATTCCATCCTGGAGTTCCATGGAAAGGACTTCAGAATATTGACCCCGAGAATGACCCTGATGTCACTCCTGGCAGTGTCCCCACTGGGCCTACCATTAATACCACCATCCAGGATGTCAACCGCTACCTCCTCAAGAGTGGAGGTGAGGAGAGGGGGTGCTCTGCCTGCCTTTCTGTGGGAATTCTCTCTAGACTCGTTCGGAGACATCCTCTGTGACAGTCTGGGCTGTAAGGCAGGTGTGGTGTAAGACATGGCTGATGAGTGCCTTTGTCTGTCACCTGAAGCAGCATATGAAGACATCGGGTAGTGCTTATGGAGGAAATGGAGATTGATTGTGATATGTTTGCTGGGTTTATCAATATATCATGTTTTATCATTTTTTAAGCATCGTGTTATAAAGTCACAATATTAACCATCAAGCTTTTTAATGAAAAGTTTCCTCTTGAAATCTCTTTACTCTGAATTGAAACTGAGTTGACTCTTTACTCATCCATACTCTATTTTTCTTTTCCACAAAAAGTCTGGTAAAAAGATTGAAATTCATCCCTAGGACTTTTTTCTTGGTACAAATCATGGTGCTAATTTTTGCCACATCCTCTGTCAGACTTGAGGGTCTCCTCAGGAAGAGGAGAAGTGATGAGCTGAGCTCTGAAGCTACAAAACAGAAACACAGAGTTCAGACATGACATTGGGAAGGGAAGTGACTCACTCTTCCTTCAGGCCTACAAGTGAGGAAGTGCTGGGAGCACCATCTGCAGGAAAGTTTTGTCATCTACATTCTATTATGTGGAAAGAAGAGCTTGGTTCCCAAAACATTAATTTAGTTTTCCCACTTAAAAAATGACCTGTTGGGGCAATGTGTTTGCTTCTATGGTTCTTTAAAGTGATAGGCTTCTAAAAGCATCTGTGGCTTGTATAGAAAGCACACGTAAATATAGATTACCCTTCCTGTGCATTCCTCAGATTTTGATGCAGCTGCTTCTTAGTGCAGAGTCGTTGTGGGTGTCTCTTCTGTCAGGGACAGAGGAATGGTAAGGAAAAGGAGCCTGTATAAGATGACAGGGGACAGGGCAAGGCACAAGCCAGAAGCCACACCTGAGCATGGCAGCAGGGTTATGCCAGAACGGTAAAAGTGAGCCAGTGTGTTTTGAGGATTGTGGAGAAGTGTGATACAGGTGTGTTGATTCAGGTATTAAGAGAAGTTGGAAAGAATCGAGGTTGCTTGGTATACAGCAGAGCTTCCCAAGCAGTGCCTAGATGAAGTATCAAGTGATCCTTCGTCCTCTGGGTGGCACTGGGGGCATTGTGGGTGGCCTTCACCATCTGCCCAACTGTGCCATGATGTGATCAAGGCAGCCTAGAAAAATACATGAATTCTGGACAGAGCTAAACAGCTGTCTTCCAGTTCCATAGCCTGCACAGTAAAGGAGATAGACTTAAGGACAGGAGAGAATCTAAGCCTAAAAAATGCATTGGCCATCAAGATAAAGCAAGAAAATGGAATCTCCAGCTCTGATATTCAAGTCATCAGCCAGCCATCTAACCTGGGTGACTTGAAGCTCCGTGTGCATATTCTGTAACCTCCGGGGGACTTGACCTTCAGGGTCAAGTGAATGCTGTGCTTCTCGGGCAGGTCGCAAGCCCACCTTGGTACACATGCCTGGACGTTGGTGTTCAGCAGCCAGTGGTTGGCTCACGCTGCATGTGCCAGGCCCCTCCTCCATCCCATGACCAGTCCAAGCCCTGAGAAACTGTCATTCTTCGCCCTGGTGGCCCTCGTGGTTGTGTTTGGGAATGCGTTAAGGTTTGTTACTGAGAGTGGGGAGCACAGCGAACATAGCTTCATATAGAAGTTGCTTACCTAAAAGCACCACCACCGTGATGCACAAGGAGTGGGCTGCCGGGGCCAGACCTTTCTAATATTTCCCTCCCAGCGTGCTGCGCTGTCCTCTGTATGTGGTCAGCTTTCAGTAATCTCATTTGTGCACCTCTGAAGTAGCTCGGGGACCTAGCCACAAAAGGCCGTCATATTATTGAGGAAAATGTGCCCTAGAAGGAAAACAGTGAGAAATAGCCACAACTCTCTTGACATTGGCTCATTTGTTTTGCATAGTTTCGTCATGGAATGTTCTGTTTTCTTTTATTGAATATATTGGGTATGGATTTTTTAACTTACATTTTGGTTTTTATTGCCATTAGATTATGTTCTGATTTATATTAAAAGTTTATGGGGGCCGGCCCGGTGGCTGCGCCGCTTGGGAAGTGCGGCGGCGCTCCCGCCCGAGGGTTCGGATCCCACATACAGACCGGTTCCTGCTCACTGGCTGAGCGAGGCGCGGGAGCAACACTGAGGGTTGCGATCCCATTGCCGGTCCCCGGTCCAGTACGGGGGCAACACTGAGGGTTGCGATCCGTTGCCGGACATGGAAAAAGAAAAAAGACAAAAAAAAAAAGTTTATGTTAGCCCAGTATTTGTTTGGATGTTGTTTACAGTTTTAACCCTTACGAAATGATTACTAACCATTCTGGTGAAATGTAGTCATGCTATTTCATAACATACTGATACTAACATTTCATCTAGAAAGGAAAATTAACTGTAATTTTATGAGACACTCGAACACTGTTAAAATCTAAGTACCTTAAAGCAATACCACCTAGGGTTAATAATCTATGATCCTGGGATCTTAGGTTGATGACATTTTGAGGTAAATGAAAGAATAGTGTTTAGGAAGTGGCTTAGGATGTCAGTAGAGCTGACACCTTTTAAAGTTGAAAACCTGCAGAATACGAATAAATCTAAAGCAATACCACCTAGGGTTAATAATCTATGATCCTGGGATCTTAGGTTGATGACATTTTGAGGTAAATGAAAGAATAGTGTTTAGGAAGTAGCTTAGGATGTCAGTAGAGCTGACACCTTTTAAAGTTGAAAACCTGCAGAATACGAATAAATTTTAATTTTCACCAACTCTGGTGCCTTCATTCTAAAGAAGTCACTTTCAGCAAGGCAGCTGCAATCAGCTCTATAGGCTGTCCCCTGCATAAACCCAGGACAGCTGACACGCCTGGTGTCTCAGTGGAGGATACCCCTGAGGATGTCCTGTACACAGCCCCAGGTGGCCTGTGTCGGCCACCGTGGCTTTTGGTAATGAGTGTAACAGCCAGGCTGTGCCACCATCCCCTCCACAGCCAGTGTCCACACACTGGCAAGAGCCACTACCCAAGTCACAGGAGCTTGCTTCCCACCCTGCTGTCACCCAAACAGCCACCATTACTACATCCTCATCTTCCTTTCACAAAGCTTTTTGCTTTCTTCACAGAGTTGTGAGAGAGATGACATGAAAAAATAAACCACAAAAATGGAGCTGAGCTTTTTCACAAAGAATCGAGGTGTCTTAAAGATGGCCCGTATACCCCGAGTCTCCCTTCCAGGTGCAGCTGAGATTTTTCTCAAAATAAAAACTGCAGTGCCAGCGGTGTTATAACTCAGGGTCATACACGCAGTTATTAGGGCAGAGGTCTCTTCATTATTCCCATATTACAAAAGAGAAAGATGAATGAGAAGACATAGGACACCCGAGTCAGAAAAAGTGCTCATATTTTTAAGGCAAAATTTACAGTAAAAAGCTTGGGGTTTTGTTGTTTTTTTTAATTTTGGTGGCTATTGTTTGAACTGAGAAAGGATGAGGATTGCCCCATGTTTTTATTTTTGTCTTAATTGGAAGGGGAGTCAGTGTGACCCTTTACAACTCTGACCTGGCATTTTAAACATTCTGGTGATAATTCTCTTCTCTCGTGACTTAAAGTCCTGTCCTGAGAAGTTCGTGCTGTTTACTGGCCTTTGCCTCATGGGCCTTCAGGAACGTCCCAGGCCTCCCCTAGTGTCTGCGGGACTCAGACGAGGCAGATGCTTGTGTTCTTCTCCCCAGGCCGCACTCTCACCTTCAGGCTTCTACCAAAAACAGCAGCTGAGGCAGGGATTTGTTCTTGGTGACTGAGATCCTGCGTCCCAGAGTTAGAGCTGCAAACCCACACACCTGCTACTCCCCTTGCTTAGTGCCGTGTTTGGTTCTGCAGGGTCCTCCCCACCATCATCTCAGAATGCCACGCTGCCTTCCTCGAGTGCCTGGCCGCTCAGTGCCTCCGGCTACAGTAGCCCTTTCAGCAGCATTGCATCCGCACCTAGTGTTGCAGGTACGCAACTGGCCTCTCGACATGCAGGTAGCCTTTTCTTTCTTTCCCCAAACGTAGCGTTCACAGGCCCCAGCTTTTCCTCTTGGTCTGTTTACTCACTGCCTGAGCGGGGAGGCCGTGTGGTGTGATGGCAAATGGGTGAGGGCTTCGCCCTGAGCAGCTGCGGGAACTTGGGCACATCTACCTGCTCACATAGGAGATGGAAGTGATAAGATCTCCTCCATGGAGCCGTGAAGATCACATGACTGTGTGGTCTACTGTGTTCTCTCCTCCTTTCCCTCCGTGGCTAGATTGTATAGGTTTTAAAAACGTAGAGGCAGACCGCTGCTTGGAATTTGCTGTCGCTTGAGTTGGCCATAAGGGATAAAGGAGACCCTAGCAAGGCCCGCTATTAGCTCCTAGCACCCGGAGTGTGGCTGCTTCCCATTACTTGGATAAATGCAGTCCCTGAAGTGTTTTCATGTTATTGTAGACTGTACAAGTCTTTCAAAGAAGTTTCTTTCAAGGTTAGAGGAAGATTGAGAATCATTTGTCATAAAAACTTCAGAGGAATTTGACTCTGAAATTTTTAAGACAAAAATGTAAAGATGTGGACACACAAACAAAATGTGTAGCAGATTTGTAAATAGATACAGAGCTTAAATAAGGAGACTTTATTGTTTATAAATTTCTTCAAATATATTTCTGTATTCCATCAAACCTTCTCATCCAGATTTTTAAAAACCCAGTGTAAGAATGCTATCAGAGTTCTCTTACTAGCAGTAACTAGGGGAGAAAGTCGTTTTGAGACATCATGTCACAGGCAGGGCCCACCCCAGCTGCCCATGTCTCCTGTCACCTCCAGGGCTCTTTTGTGCCCTGGAAGCTGCCCCTTCTCGGAGGTCAAGATGGGCAGCAAAATGGCATCTGCCAGCAGGGTCGTGCAGGTAGTCAAACCACATACTCCATTAATAAGGTTCCCTGACCGAAGAGACAATCCTAAACCCAACGTATCAGAAGCTTTGAGATCAGCAGTTGTACCATCTCATTTCTTCTGCAATTTTACAGCTTTCTAAGGGAAGTAAATCACCAAATATACTGATTCATCAAGGTCCACCAGACACTGCAGAAATACTAAAATCATTACCTCAGAAATACAGAAAGAAACTTGTGTCTCAAGAAGAAATTGAATTTATCCAATGTGGAGGTCCAGAATAATCACTGCAGCTGCTGTTTGTCATCAAACAAAAGAATTGACTTTACAATAAAAGACTTCCAAAATAACAAATAAAAAATCGTATATTAGACAACGTTAATAAACTAAAAAAAATGAAATATAGAAAATTTAGATGGCCACTTGTATGTCCTAATTTATGTATCTTGGTCAGCTTCTCCACAAGCTTACCTAATTGTTTATATGCTTTCTACTTATTAAAGTATACATTAAAAAAAAAAGTTTTGGTATAGCTTAGCGTATGATTAACAGAAACAAGAGCTTCTAGATTACTTTTATTCCTTCTAATGTTCATAATATTTAGACCTTTAATACTTCCATGGTCATATTTAGCTAAACAGAATTAAAACCATCTTCCTCGCATCAAAGATAAATCTTCATGGCATTTATGTTTTTCCAATCAATGACACCTTTTCTAAGATCAGTGTTTGTTCATCATGAAGTCGCAATCAACTCCAGCAGCCAGGCTTGGAGAGAGAACCCCACGCAGGTGTGCATGGGCTCACATTTGTGTTGTCTTGGTCCCTGCAATGCTGTCCAAGAAGGGGGCACAAGCGTGCATGGGGACAATGACCACTCTCTGCCAGCGCTTCCTGTCTTCTGCACTAGGCCAGTGAGGCAGGTAGAAGCAGTCATCCAGGGGTCTGGTCTGCTCATCTTGACCGAGTTTAGTTTTTTCTCCCAAAGAGCCTTAAAACAGTGCTTCCCCCCAACCAGTGTGCCAAGGGTTGAACCTTAACCTCCAGGCACTGGGTCACGTCCATTTTCTGTAGTGCAGTGTACAAAGAGCAGCTCTAGAAGCTTTGGAAGATGACAGTGGTGGATGGGGAGGGTGGTTATGTCAGCAGGAGCACTGCTTTGGAAGGGGACTGACGCCTAAAGAACAGCATGAAGAAAGGATATGGCCATGTGCTTTTGACCTTGATTGATTAATGGTATGAGATGTGTCTCAGTAGAATAAGTAGAATATGTTGATAAGTTAGCTTTAACATTGAACTTCAAAAATGCTATTTTCTTCGAGGCAAATTTGTGTCTGGTACATTTAACAAATTAAGTGTCAGAAATACTGGCACAGTCTACAGTGGACACATGCAGACTGTCTCTCTGAGCAGAAATTAAAGAGAGAGCATGCCCCAAGGGTCTTGCTTCCAGGTGCTTTACTTGGTGTTTCTTTTTTTTATCATGCAGTCTACTGGTGTCAGAGCGCACCCTCTATGGTTCCCCAAACACGGCAGTGACTCTTCTTTGTCTCAGATTGCACGTGCTCCCTTTCTCTGCCTTTCTAGGTAAACTGTCAGACATTAAATCAACGTGGTCCTCTGGCCCAGCTTCTCACACTCAAGCCTCTCTGTCTCATGAACTGTGGAAGGTGCCCAGAAACACTACTGCACCCACGAGGCCACCTCCAGGGTTAACCAATCCCAAGCCTTCCTCCACCTGGGGCGCCAGCCCCCTGGGCTGGACCAGCTCCTATTCCTCGGGTAAGCTCCTTGCTCCTATGTTCAGATGGGGGGCGGAGGGTGCTCTGAGCCTGCTGTGCTTAGCCTCTAGGGGACGTGCTCTTCATTTTCTCCATGCACCTCCTTTGTAAGGACCCCTGTCTCCAGCCCTGGAGTCTGGGAGGGGGTGAGAGGGAGCCAAGGCCACCTGAGACTTGCAGGACAAGGGCTGGGCGAGCACTGCGTTTTCAGCATCAGCCCTGGGTGTGCCGGCACATGGCAAGTTTGCTCTGGACCAAGAGGGCCCACACTGGCCAATGCCATTCTCTGTAGTGATGCTGTCACGTGCTGGGACTGCAGAAAAGGCCCATTCTGCTGTTCTAGACCTCCCACTCCTGTCGGCCCTTCATTTTTTTTTTTTTTTTTTTTTTTTGTGACCGGTAAGGGGATCGCAACCCGTGGCTTGGTGTTGTCAGCACCGCGCTCAGCCAGTGAGGATCCGAACCCGCAGCAGGAGCGCCGCGGCACTCCCAGCGCTGCACTCTCCCAAGGGAGCCACGGGATCGGCCCTCGGCCCTTCATTTTATATTTGCTTCTCCACAAGCTTTCATTGGATCATAAGGACTTTCCAGGCCAAAGCAAAACAATCCCAACCAGTTTGAAAACAACACTCACCATATTGCCTCTCCAAAGGCTTTCCCTCAGAGGCTCCATGCCAAACTTTAAGGCTCAAAGAAATGTACTGGGAATTTCAGAAACTGAAGTTTTAAATCAGCTACAGGTAGTTTGAAAATAGCTGTTTCCGCCTTTTAGTAGCAGCGCTTGTGGGTTTGCTTTGTTTTTTTTATTTTTTTAATAAAGATGACCAGTAAGGGGATCTTAACCCTTGACTTGGGGTTGTCAGCACCATGCTCTCCCTAGTGAGCCACGGGCGGGCCCCTTTTGCTTTGTTTTTCGAACAAGAGACTTTCATAGAATTGATGCTGTATAGGGGCTTGGGGTAGGGAGAGGTCGAGCACTTGCTGGGAGACTTGCATCTCTCACCACACCCTCCCTCATGGCACAGACAGGGAAGCACAGGCCTCATGGGCTGGGGAACTGTCCAAAAAAAATCGGGGTTTGCATGGGGCAGTGGGTGGGAGTCTGAAAGGATTGTGAGCTTTGGGTTTATCAAAAGACAACGTGGATTTCCATGAGCTGAGAAAGGCTGTCTTGCCTGGCCGGTTAGCTCAGTCGACTAGTGTGGTGCTGATAACACCAACGTCCAGGGTTCAGTTTCTGTACTGGCCAGCCTCCAAAAACAAGGGAGAGAGATGCTCTCCTAGGGCATGCACAGGTAGTTTGTGCTGTGTGCACCTTGGTGAGACTACAGGCTTGGAAAGGGCCACACCATCTGACTGGCAGGTGACCGTGTCATCCAAGCTCTCCCCCTCCCCCCCGGCTTGTTGTGCAGGTTCTGCTTGGAGTACTGACACCTCAGGAAGAACCAGCAGCTGGCTCGTCCTTCGAAACCTCACGCCCCAGGTATGTGCCCACGGGGTCACTGATCACAATCTAAGAAGACTCCAGAGGTGACACTAGGCAGGCTGAAGGAGAAAGCAACTGCCAGAATCGAGTTCAGGCAGCAACAAGCAGACAAGGTTGCTAATGAATTGTTTACTTACTCTTAACTGGAAAAGTATACCTTTGTAAGCAGAATTGCTTATCTTCTGGCTGTACCCATTCAGGACTGATTGGGATAGCCAGTCTGCATGCCTCCGAGCCAAGGCCACAGCCACCTACACATCCCCCTGGGCCCTGGTGCCTTTTGCAAGCCAGTCTTGGGTGCTGTGCTCTGGTGAAGAGGAGAACAGAACACAAAATGGGGCTGTTCTTCTTCCTCTCATTAGTTGTTTTTTTTTTTAAAAAAGATGACCGGTAAGGGGATCTTAACCCTTGACTTGGTGTTGTCAGCACCACGCTCAGCCAGTGAGCGAACCGGCCATCCCTATGTGGGATCCGAACCCGGGGCCTTGGTGTTATCAGCACCGCACTCTCCCGAGTGAGCCACGGGCCGGCCCGTTCCTCTCATTAGTTTTAACTCCCAAAATATCCAAAATTTTTGTCATATATCTGACTACAGAGGTATAAAACATTAATATCAAAAAGCCATGTATTATTAAACCCTTTTAAGGAAAAACATTTTCCTAGTATTTAGTGCACCCAACTTCCTATACCATTTTTTCGAAGAATGTAGTGAAGGAAATCAGAGGAAAACTTGCTGGTTCCCCTGTGCTTCCTCAATCAGATCGATGGTTCTACGCTGCGGACGTTGTGTTTGCAACACGGGCCTCTCATCACCTTCCACCTGAACCTGACTCAAGGCAATGCTGTGGTCCGGTACAGCTCCAAGGAGGAAGCTGCCAAAGCCCAGAAGTCTCTACACATGTACGTTTCCTCTCAGCCACCTCAGCCCTGCCACATAGCTACAAGTCCCCAGGAGTGTTAGGTTTGGGATATTGTAGGAGCTTCCCAGGGCTGCCATGCAAAGTACCTGAGGCTGGGGGCCTAAACAGCAGACATTCATTTCCTCACAGCTCTGGAGGCTGCAAGTCCCAGGTCAAGGTGTGGGCAGGGTTGGTTCCTCCTGACGCCTCTGACCTTGGCTGTACACAGCCATCTTCTCCCTGTGTCTTCACGTGGACTTCCCTCTGTGTGTCTGTGTCCTAATATCCTCTTCCTGTAAGAATGCCAGTCATGTTTGATTAGGACCCACTCATGAACTCATTTAACTTAATTACCTCTTTGAGACCCTTTCTCCAAATACAGTCACATTTGGAGGTATTGGGAGTTAGGACTTCAACACATGACTTGGGGGTAGACACAGGTATCTTGTGACATGCTGATTTCTTCTGCAGCTGAGTTGTAGTGGCTACACCTTCCATTAGGGAAAGACTCTCCAAGGAGTCCATGTAGAGCCCGGTAGTAGAAAGCAAGCACTCTTTCACCAGGTACAGCCCAGGGGAGTGACACATTTGCACACAGGGCCCAGCAGAGGTCTTTACAACGGACCCCTCTCCCTAATTAATTAGGATGTGCTTTGATACAAGTACACCTGCTCAGTAACATCACTTGAGGTGTGGGAACTAGATTTAGTCACTCCTGTTTTTCACCCAGGGTGCAGATTATACTGATCCTAAATGGTCCCCAAATATAATGGTGTGTTCACGCACTTAAAAATGTACTCTCTAGGGCTGGCCTGGTGGCGCACTGGATAGTGCGCCGCTTGGGAGCGCAGAGGCACTCCCGCCGAGGGTTCGGATCCCATGTGGAGACCGGTTCCCGCTCACTGGCTGAGCGCGGTGCAGGCGCAACACCGAGGGTTGCGATCCCGTTGCCGGTCCCTGGTACGGGCGTGACACTGAGGGTTGCGATCCTGTTACCAGTCAGTAAAAAAAAGACAAAAAAGGAAAAATAAATAAATAAATAAAATTTTTTTTAAAAAATGTACTCTCTATGCCAACACGATATAGCTGCTAGAAGTCTAAAATGAGAAAAAAGTTCATAATCTGGGTTTGGAAGTAGCAATGGCAAAACATAAGCTGCAGGACTACTTCATGTCATGGTGACCCATGACATGAAGCCTTCAGCTGCGCCTTTCCCATTACAGAAATAGAGAAAGCCAGAGACCCGGACTCAGCAGGGCTGCGGGTTGCTCCACTCATGTGACTTGTGTTGCTGTTGTAGGTGCGTCCTGGGAAACACTACCATCTTGGCTGAATTTGCTGGCGAAGAAGAAGTGAATCGATTCTTAGCCCAAGGCCAAGCACTGCCACCCACCTCCAGCTGGCAGTCCAGCAGCGGGACCAGCCAGCCACGGCTGGGCACCTCGGGCAGCTCCCATGGCCTGGTGCGCAGTGATGCCGGCCACTGGAGCACCCCGTGCCTGGGCAGCAAAGGGAGCAGTGAGCTGCTGTGGGGTGGGGTGCCCCAGTACTCAAGCAGCCTGTGGGGCCCACCCAGCACCGACGATGGCAGGGTGATTGGCAGCCCCACCCCACTGAACACTCTGCTGCCCGGAGACCTGCTGAGCGGGGAGTCCATCTAGGAGCTGCAGTCATTGGCACCAGGAGAGAACTGGTCCCTTCCAGCCTGGGCGGCACGGACCCAGCCGGGCCCAGCAGCCGGCACCCTTTCAAGTACCTCTGTCCAGTACTGAAGACGAACCTTCGCCGCAGCCCTTGCGAACTGTTCACAAGACAGTGCGGGCTGCGTTTGGTCAGTGTCACGTGCTAACAACAGGATGTTCCTCATAGCTTTTTATTTTGTGTTGTCTTATGTTTGTATGGTGTGTTGTTATTTTGATTTCTTAAGTATAAAAGCTGCTTAGAATAGTTCTATCATGAAGGGCACTTTTCAGATTGTGGGCTGGAAAGGGTTATTTTATCGTCGGGGGGAGGGAGGGAGGGAGACATGAAGCCTATTTAAAATGAGCCTGTGACGATTATGCACATTACCAGAGGCGGCCAGTAATCAGGGCAGGGGCTGGCGTTGATCGCCAGGCAGCAGCTGAGCAAGTGGCAGGCGCGGCCTGTGATCTGCCCTCTGTTTCCCTGGATCCGCCTATGCACATTACCCTTGTTTCATTACTTTTTCATGTCATTTTTTTAATCCCAGAAAATATTTTTTAAAAGTTAAAAATAAAAAGACATATCAAACATGCAAATACTTGAATCCAGCAGGCCAATAATGAAATGTGAACACTTTCTAAGTCTAATTCTACACTTCCAGGTTGACATCAGTACACAGAAACAGGCTCTAGGAAAAATTTCTAAGTTCATAGCCTATGAGTGTGTGTGTGTGTGTGTGCGTGTGTGCGTGTGTGAGTGTGTGGGTGTGTGTGCACTTGTGCTCTTGCACCGTGTGCACTTTCTGTGTTCGTGTGTTTGAAAGTATGTGAGGGATTTAACTGTGGGTTTTCCCTTTTATTCAGTATAGTGTAGGCTTTTTTTTTTTTTTTTTTGGCGCATTGGTCAAACGTTTGTTATTTTAGCTTCTAACTTTGCACTGAGTGTCCCTGCCCTTCCTTTAGCTAATCCTGTACATTAAAGAGAATTCATAGGACAGGGCTGGTGACAATTCATGTGTAAATGTTTACTCAAGGACTCTGTTATTGTGTTTAAAAATTACAGTGTATATCTCTGGAGACATAATATGTATACCTACCTTTAGCAGCTTTTTATTGTGGACTAATGCAAGAAAATTATTACCAGAGTATTGCACCGTTTTTTCCATTTGGAATATAAAGTTAAAGAGAAAAAAACTGTTGTTGAACTGTGGCCATAGATACTTGTAAAGAATGGATGGTTCCGCGGATGGAACAGAAACAAGCACTTGGACATGGGTTGTGACTGCTTTTGGAGGAGCCTGTGGTTTGGGCTCCCACTTGTTTACAGACCTTTTTTTTCTCCTTCAGACTTTAAAATAAAAAAATTTTTAAAAGGAATTAAAAAAAAATTTAAAAGACTTCCGTCGTAAAGAAACCTATTTTCAGAATGCAGGTGCGCTACTTCAGAGCTCTGGGATTGGACAGTGTTGCTCCCCCTTCGGCCATCGTCGTGGACTCTGTCGATTGTTTTCGCCCCTTCGTCAAGGTGGCGAAGCTTTGTGGTCACTGTCTTGCACATGCCGGACGCGCTCTCAGGAAAGCCAGGGCTCCCGAGGGCAGCTCCACACCATTTCATGTATTTTTAAACCCATCTCCTAGCACTGAAGATGTTATTTAAAAAAACAAAAACAAAAAAAAAAAGAAAAAAGAGAAAAAAAAACACAAAGAAGAAAAATACCTAATCTCTAATGTGTAGCAGTTACATATTTACCAAATAATGGACTCAAAAGAAATAGATGTTTGAAGAGTGCTTTATATATTAAAAATTGCTTTATGTTTTAAAAATGATCAATGTTTTGATTGTTTTACAAGGAAGAAAGACAATGGAATAACATACCCTCAAGTATGTTTTAAAAAAAATATATGAACATTGTGCTCCCTGCCTGCTTGATCAGGAAACTTGTGCATTACATTTTTTTTAATTAGCTTTTTAATGGTTTTATCGAAACAAAACACACACAAAAAAAAAAAAAAAAGAAAACCCTGCAAGATTGCAGATCAACAAAAGCTGGTTTTATAGAGGATCATGAACTATGCACAAACTGGGTTCAAGACTTTTTTTCTCAAGTTTAGTAGTGTATTTAGCTAAACAAACCTTCCTCAGAGTGATCGCATCTCATTGCCATTACATACATTCTATATATTTGATGTATGTATACCTGCATATGTATATCAAATATATGTGCCTGCGTGCGTGCGTGTGCGTGTGCGTGCGTGCACCCGTCATACGGCTTCTTATGCTGCCATTTAGCATTGAGTTGTAGAAAAACTCCTGATGTTTTTAACTTAGGGATGGAAGAATCTGTTCGTTTGTTTTGGTTTTTGTTGGGGGTTGTTGTTTTTTTAACTTTTATTTTGAATTTAAGATGTCTTTAACTCTGAGATTAAAAAACAAGTTTGTGGCTCTTAATGTTTTTCCTCATAGAATGTGATTGTTGAAGAACATGCACCGAAAGTTGCTTTCAAAAGTACAACGCTTTGTTGAATCTTAATAAATTGCAATTTTTTTCTTGGCTGTTCAAATTAATGTTATTTTAATTTTTCAGACAGATACTATCAATGTTTACTTTGTATGTGAAACTGGGAAAAATAGTTGTCCTGCCATTTGTAACATTCCCTGTCTCTTACCGTGTCCTCAGAGTTTACATATGTAACTAGTTATCTCAGAGTTTCAGTTGTTTGACTTGTAATGTTATCATTTCCTTTGTGATTTTATTGTTAACATTTAAATCTTACTAATAATGATTGAGATGTTCAGCAGAGCTCCGGGCTCTCCATCCATGTGAACCTGTCACATCCGGTAACGGTGACTGTCCGGGCTGCAGTGGGGCGAGGCCCAGGCCTGCTTAGCCTCGTGGCGGAAGACCACTGCTCACTTCCACGGCGGGCCACTGGACGTCAGAAGTAATCGGGGAGAAGAGCAATGAAGGTCTTTTGCGTGTTCTAATCACTTTATTCATTTATTTGTGTAAAATTGCCTGAGCTAATTTCTACAAAGTGTTGTGGACGAGCACAGTGGCACTTGGGTGCCGGCTGAAGCAGCACCATTCTCACTGCGGAATTTCAGGTGGCAGTTGGAAATCAGAACACTTCGGTCTGTTTTGTGCTAGGTCCATTCCTAGAACACTCACCCTGGCCTTAAATATGTTCAGTGTCTGTGCCTCTGTTTCATCAGCATTGTGTGTCGTCTCTGGAAGAGAATCCAAACACCAGCGGGACCCCTCACTCAGAGACTTAACAGAATGAGTGTCTTTTTCTGTCTCCACTCCTTTGAGCAAGGTCAAAGGTAGACCCTGCCACCTGCGGATCTGTTCCGTGTCCTATCAAGAAGATAGGACCTACCCTGCCACAGGCTGGCCCCTATGGGAAGGTGGTGAACTGCTGGCTCTGACCAACCTCTTGAGAGTGGAGAAAGAAAGCACTGAATGGGTCATACTCGGGAGAAGACATTAAAGACCAGAGGAAGGACGAACTCAGAGCTGGGACAGTCAAAGTGCACCTAACCTTCTAAACTGGTGTGAACCTGGAAGTGTTTGTTTTGTGCCTGGTGTGTCCAGAGCTACTGCAGGGGAGCAAGTTGCCAGGACCTGTTCCCTGGGAGGATGAGTTCAGTGCCTTAAGGATGTCCAAAGCATGTGGCAGGCTTCACAGAGGAGGTGGCAAGCAACATCTAGATTCGTGTAAGGTGCAGTCACTGGGTGCTGCAGCCTGGCTCGGTTGGCACATAGACTGCCCAGCACACACTAATTTTTTTTTTTTCCTTTTTGTCTTTTTTCGTGACCGGCAACAGGACCGCAACCCTCGGTGTCACGCCCGCACTGTGCTCAACCAGTGAGCGGACCAGTCTCTATATGGGATCCGAACTCTCGGCGGGAGCGCCACCGCACTCCCAAGCGCCGCACTCTACCGAGTGCGCCACTGGGCCGGCCCAGCACACACTAATTTACAAAAATATTCTGGGCAAGTTCTTTGACTTCATCACCTTAAGTAGCTTGTCGTGGCTTCAAGGTTCTTGGGAGGCAGGTGAAGTGGACTCAATAAACCACACCCAAGGGCTATGCCGAGAGGAAGGCGTCTCGGTGGATCTAGCCCAGAGGTCCCAGTCACTCACTTGCTGGGCTGCCCACCCACTTTTGCCCAGCAGCTCTCATGCCCAGAGATAGAGCCAGAAGTCGCCACCCAGGATCAGCACCAGCTACTCGCAAAGTTCCGTAGGCACCACCTGGCTGAGATCAGCCACAACAAGCCCAGGTAATCCAATCTGTTGGGCACCGTAGAAAACCCACAGAAGTCAGGTTTATGCCAAGTCAGCTCCAGGGACTGCGTCAGCCAGTGGCATCTGCCCCTGGACATCTGCATCACAGAGGAATGTCCCCACGTCCTCAGGAAGGGATGGTATTGGCAGAGCGTGGGCCCAGCTGGGGGCTGCTCATGGCCAGNGGCCTGCTTAGCCTCGTGGCGGAAGACCACTGCTCACTTCCACGGCGGGCCACTGGACGTCAGAAGTAATCGGGGAGAAGAGCAATGAAGGTCTTTTGCGTGTTCTAATCACTTTATTCATTTATTTGTGTAAAATTGCCTGAGCTAATTTCTACAAAGTGTTGTGGACGAGCACAGTGGCACTTGGGTGCCGGCTGAAGCAGCACCATTCTCACTGCGGAATTTCAGGTGGCAGTTGGAAATCAGAACACTTCGGTCTGTTTTGTGCTAGGTCCATTCCTAGAACACTCACCCTGGCCTTAAATATGTTCAGTGTCTGTGCCTCTGTTTCATCAGCATTGTGTGTCGTCTCTGGAAGAGAATCCAAACACCAGCGGGACCCCTCACTCAGAGACTTAACAGAATGAGTGTCTTTTTCTGTCTCCACTCCTTTGAGCAAGGTCAAAGGTAGACCCTGCCACCTGCGGATCTGTTCCGTGTCCTATCAAGAAGATAGGACCTACCCTGCCACAGGCTGGCCCCTATGGGAAGGTGGTGAACTGCTGGCTCTGACCAACCTCTTGAGAGTGGAGAAAGAAAGCACTGAATGGGTCATACTCGGGAGAAGACATTAAAGACCAGAGGAAGGACGAACTCAGAGCTGGGACAGTCAAAGTGCACCTAACCTTCTAAACTGGTGTGAACCTGGAAGTGTTTGTTTTGTGCCTGGTGTGTCCAGAGCTACTGCAGGGGAGCAAGTTGCCAGGACCTGTTCCCTGGGAGGATGAGTTCAGTGCCTTAAGGATG